GAGAGCAAGAGAGAGAAAGTAGAAAAAGAGAGTGAAAGGGGAGAAAAAGAGAGAGAGAGAGAGAGAGAGTATAGAGAGACCTTTTGATTAATTCCCAATCTCATAATATCCATTATCATTAATAAAATAACTAGCTGCTGGCAAGCATCCAATGACTCTAGTGCCATCCATCTCATCAATACATGAGGTGCACAGAGAGTGGAGGAGAGGGAAGGAGAGGGGAAGGAGAGGGAAGGAGAGGGAAGGAGAGGGAAGGAGAGGGAAGGAGAGGGAAGGAGAGGGAAGGAGAGTGGAAGGAGAGGGGAAGGAGAGGGAAGGAGAGTGGAAGGAGAGGGAAGGAGAGGGAAGGAGAGTGGAAGGAGAGGGAAGGAGAGTGGAAGGAGAGGGAAGGAGAGGGAAGGAGAGGGAAGGAGAGGGGAAGGGAAGGAGAGGGAAGGAGAGTGGAAGGAGAGGGAAGGAGAGTGGAAGGAGAGGGAAGGAGAGTGGAAGGAGAGGGAAGGAGAGTGGAAGGAGAGGGAAGGAGAGTGAAGGAGAGTGGAAGGAGAGGGAAGGAATGTGGAAGGAGAGGGAAGGAGAGGGAAGTAGAGAGAGGAAGAGGGATGTCGGGAGGTATTTGGAGGAGAGGAGAGGGAAGTGCAGAGAGTAGAGATCACAAACGATCCGGATATAAATAACAGTCAATTAAATAATGGAATAGCCGTAACGACCCCCGATCACAGCGCCTCCTAATTATAACCAATGTGGTCATTAACAGATGCTGTCCCTCTGAGCCATAGGAACCCGGAGGTGTCTGGGTCAACGCCCCACCTCTGAACCGCCCATACCAGAACTCAGGGACAGAACTCAGGTCCTGCACAGTTGGTGTAGAAGAACCCCTTCTAATAATAGAACATGACATTTAAAGGCGGAGCTGTGTTACGCTCACAAGGGAACGGCATGTGTGTCATTAAAATCCAACAAATTATATTTCTACATTTCATTTCTACTCATATATGCATGGGTACACTAGAAAATGTTTCAGAGAAAGTTAATTTAAAGAAGTTACATTCTTGATTATATTTATGTAGAGGAATGAAAACATAGTGAGTTAAAGTGTATCAATTAGATTTAAGGTAGAGTTGGAGAAATTATATGAAAACAGAATATCCTCTGGTCAATAAAAATGTATTCCACTAACATAGAGGTCCAACATCATCAATGCAATTTCTGCATGTAACAATCGGTCAGTCCGCCTTTACAACGTGTCAACATTCTGACTAAGGTCAAAACAACAGCCAATTAACTACGGGGGGTAGATGGGAGGTGATTGGACAACCAGTTGATGCTAATTCCCAACTAAATAGTGCAGGACTTATTTGTGATGACCCCCACCATGAACCCTGATACCTAACGGGGTCATTTCACATCTACCAGCTGACCTAAGGTGATATATAAACAGAGACAGACAAACAAAATACAGTGATAAAACAGAGAGAACATTTAAAGAATGTGATTTGGGCATGACCAGGTGTAGGCCATTCTGTACAGATGAGTCTTGAGGCGTTGCTGGAAGATGGGATAGATAGTCCCAGAGTCACGGATGGTTTTGGGGTGAGAGTTCCAGAGCCCAGGAGGGGAGCACCCCTTGAGAACACTTGGGGATTATGAGGTAGGCCGTATTACTGGAACGGAGAGAGTAAGTATGTTGATAAGGAAGAAGAAAGTCAGAAAGATGGGAAGAAGCCATTTTATCAGGCAACAGGAAACCCTGAAAGTGATGGCCAGCGATTGGGTCTAGGTTAGATAAATAATATACTGATAGGGCCAATTTCTGAAGGCACAGAAAAAAACGTCTCTATAATATAAATAATTTAAGTTCATTAAAGAGTTAATTCAACAGGAATTCAGTGGATCACGATTAATTTTGTTTAATTAGTTTTGTTTTGTGCTTGGATACAGTAGAATTTCACTTCCTTCTGCGCAGAAGTTACCACTCTTTGCAGAAGAATTCCCTAAAATGTACATACAGTGGATAAAAAAGTCTACACACCCCTGTGCACACTTATGCAACCAGGTCATTGTAAGTTTTAAATTTTTTAATTTTCCACCTCAAAGATTTCAGTTTCTTTTTCATTTGGATTGTTTACAATATAGGCCAACATAAAGGTGGAAAAAGTTCTGACAATATTTATCTTTGTCTAATTTCTTCACATCACAAAAACCTGGCATTTTAACAGCGGTGTGTAGAGTTTTTATATCCAATGTAAATGGGATCAAATGAAATCTATAATTTTAATAATTGCTTTCAAGTGTCACAAGAACACTGTCCAGGCTATTCCTTTTCTCGCAGCTCTGATTGGCTTTACCTGGTACATTGGGTGATATTGATTGACAAGTTTTAATGGGCAACATTTAAGGGAAACAGGTTACAAGAATGGAAAACATTGAACAATGTTCTATATTGCCATGGGCTAGATCTGTCCCATAGATAGGCAGTTGAAGAGCCCCGACATACAGTATGTAGATTACACATCACCATGGACACTGTCATCCTCTGTGTCAGAGACTGTGCTCCATAAGATTGGAGTGAAAGAGCTGGATCTGTCCCATAGATATACAGTATGTAGATTACACATCACCATGGACACTGTCATCCTCTGTGTCAGAGACTGTGCTCCATAAGATTGGAGTGAAAGAGCTGGATCTGTCCCATAGATATACAGTATGTAGATTACACATCACCATGGACACTGTCATCCTCTGTGTCAGAGACTGTGCTCCATACGATTGGAGTGAAAGAGCTGGATCTGTCCCATAGATATACAGTATGTAGATTACACATCACCATGGACACTGTCATCCTCTGATCACACTACCATCAGGGTCCTCGACACAGATCAGTGGTCTGTTCACAGAACCGGAGAACTTTGCGGGGCAAAAAGGGACATTTACAATTGTTGTATACGTTATGTATTATTAACTCATGTGTGAATAACTGTTGAGAAAAGTCTTGGCTTTGAAATTAATCAATTTTGGATAAAGCAAACAAGCGGTGGAGCCCTGTCCTTCTTACTAATAAATCTGAACAAACACTGCTTCACTGACACTGATATGACACACACACTGTTATGGAAACATGGAGGTTTATCAGAAAGAACACACAGCATGCTGTGATGAGATATTATCTGTCATACCTCACCACCCTCGTATGATTGAACCACTTTTCCAATTACATAGACACTTTTCCTTACTATGGCACAATCTCTACTGAGGTGAACTAACTCTACCTCCAGAGCAAACTGCAGCTGTCACAGTAAATCAGATCAGCATCGAGACGCCAAGGAAGTTAAAAAGATAATGTCTTCCCGCTCCAGTCAATGCAGAAAGCCGTATTGTCAGATATGACTGCTTTTACAGCGCAGTGAAAGTTTTCTGATGACCGACTGTGATTTCGCTTCAGTAGCTTTAGCATATTCTGGTGGGTATTCATCAAACGAAAGGAAGTTCTGATGACATCTAGTGACTGTTCTAAAGCGGTCCGCATACGTCCAAAGGATACCAGTGATTGTCCAGTGAGTTCCTGTTTGATCCAGGGGAAGTGTTCCTCTTACATGTCTCCGCGCGTGACTGTGTTCACACGCATTATTCATATTTGCACTTCAAAGTAAGTAAATCTCAGAACTATTTTTATCCCATCGGGAGCAACATTACAAAAGAAAACGTTTTTTATGATATTGAAAGCAGCATTACGAACGTATCTTACCCAACACTAAAACACAATGTGCAAACCTAGTGGCTCAGTGAAAAAAAAACAACATCCCAGATAAATTAAAAAATATGTTAAATGTAATGATATTGTCAGTGAATCAATATGTTTTCACTATTTACAGTGAAATATACAGGTCCCATAGAGAACGTTACATTGGGAACATTACATGAAGTTGTAGGACTTGAGAGTCCTGACCTAGTCTTGACGTGACAAGCTGGGAGTAGAGAACAAACCAAACGTTCCTCAGATGACGTACCGCAGGCAAGGTCCTGCTAACGACAACGTTGTCTAATGTCCTTAGAACCTCCATGGTTTGTGGAGCAGGCCATTATCTGAACACAAATACTATGTCTCCTGACCAGCTGATATCAGTTTAAGGTTTGCTTTCCTCCATAAATTTGGAATAAACCTCCAGTTTGCCGGTCCTCATCACTCTCTCTAACATCCACTGTCAGGTTGTATAGGCCCTCATCTCTCTCTCTAACATCTACTGTCAGGTTGTATAGGCCCTCATCTCTCTCTCTAACATCTACTGTCAGGTTGTATAGGCCCTCATCTCTCTCACTTACATCCACTGTCAGGTTGTATAGGCCCTCATCTCTCTCACTTACATCCACTGTCAGGTTGTATAGGCCCTCATCTCTCTCTAACATCCACTGTCAGGTTGTATAGGCCCTCATCTCTCTCTCTAATATCCACTGTCAGGTTGTATCGGCCCTCATCTCTCTCTCTAATATCCACTGTCAGGTTGTATAGGCCCTCATCTCTCTCTCTAATATCCACTGTCAGGTTGTATAGGCCCTCATCTCTCTCTAACATCCACTGTCAGGTTGTTTAGGCCCTCATCTCTCTCTCTAATATCCACTGTCAGGTTGTATAGGCCCTCATCTCTCTCTAACATCCACTGTCAGGTTGTTTAGGCCCTCATCTCTCCCCAGTGGCTGTCAGCTGCCACACCAGTCTCAGTTCACGAAATATGATCTACTCTGTCATCAATGACACCTTTATGTTGGCATATTGGCTTTATGATCAAGCGATTTTTAACCAGGTGCTCGTACAGTAAACCCAAGCAGGGAGGAGCAGCAGTCATTTGTGAGGCTAACTGAGGGATCACACTTAAATCACTTCAGGAACGTGTGTCAGGCAACACCTCATCAACCCACATAATGTGTTACATACCCATCTAGGAATGGCACACTTGTGTATAATCTATAACACGGTGTGTTGCACCAAGAGAACAACCAACGTGGAACAGTTGGTAGCTCAGTGGTAGAGTGCATGCTTTGTGTGTCTGACGTCCTGGGTTCAAATCCGTTGCAAATGAGAAATTGTTCTCAATCGGCCTACCTGGTTAAATAAAAAATAGATCTCCGCTATTGTCTTCCCTCCGCTTCAGTAATACAGACTGATCTAACGAAAGGTTTAGCCGCATTTTTAATAAAATTTAGGAAAACCAACCTCTCCTTTGTGCTATTAGAAAACAAATCTGTGGCAAAACACAGAGAATTAAGTCTCCACTCAAACTGCTTACTACAGACTTATTTACAATGGAGCTCATAATAAAGTAGGGGCCTCATTGGCTACAGTGGGAATGAATAATGCAGACATATGGAGAAACGGACGGGCCAATTACCACAATATAACACATACGACAGGGAGGGAGAGCAAGAAAATATGGAGTGTGAGAGAGAGATGGGGTAGGAGGGAGTGATGGAGAGATCAGGAGAGAAGGGAGGAATGACAAAGCAACAGGGAGAGATATGAAAATTGATAGACTGAGAGGAAAATAGGTGGAATGAAGGAGGGAGGAGAGAGAGGGAATGACAGTGAGACACAGGGAGAGAGAGAGTAAAGCAGAAAGACCAAGCCTGACAGGGTACTATGTAAAATGATTGCTGGTTAAAATAAAATGTCAGAGGCTGAGAGTTTACCACATGCTGCTGTGTCTGTAATTCAATCACAGACAAATGCATGTAGGATTCAGCGGCCTCGTGACGGGAGGAAGGGCCTAATGGGATTCTGCCACTAATGGAGTGGCCTTTCTCCCCAATTTGGCAGGTGCTGCCGGGAAGGCAGACTGAGGAACCTGCCAGGGGCTGGCTGGAGCCAATATTGTGTGCCGCGTAAATGTGTTATTTGAGATGTGAGGTTGACTGCGGCGGGGAGAGCGCTAATAGAGTTTCTACATGCAGACGGGTGTGTATTAGCGTGAGAAGAACACGTGTTTTGTGAGGCCGTGTGTGTGTTTGTGAGTGGGCCTGTTTGAATAGGCATGTCAGTGTGTGTGTGTGTGTGTGTGTGTGTGTGTGCACGCTGGTGTGTATATCCGTAGCCAGACCAGAATGTGTGCTCGTCCAGCCATAGTGCATCGCGGCCCTTAGATCGCTAATAACTCTAACCGACGGCCGGGGGACTTGGAGAGGACAGGCACTTGTAAAGACACAGACACTTACAGCCCGAAGAGGAAAGAAGAAGAAAACTGTCAGCTAATTACCTGACTGACTGCTTGTGATGGGTTAGAGATAAGAGAGGGATGGAGTGTGAGGAAGAACGTCTGGAGAGTCAGATGAGGAAGCCAGGATAAGAATAACAGACAGGAGGAGGAGAGGGAGTGATTTAAAGAGAGAGGGAGAGAGAGATAGTGGTAGAGAGAGAGATAGAGGGAGAGAGAAAGAGGGAGAGAGAAAGAGGGAGAGAGAAAGAGGGAGAGAGAGAGAAAGAGGGAGAGAGAAAGTTAGAGGGAGAGAGAGTTAGAGGCAAATGAGAGAGGAAGAGATAAGTGGAGTTTGTGTGGCGTCTTGGATTTCACTATCGAGCTAAAGGTATGTAGAGAAGACCAGCTTTCTCTCTGTCTTTCTAAGTTTAGATTTGGAAATCTTGGCAGAAGCGAGTAGAATAGCCACTGACCTTGACTTGATTTTTTCCGGGGTTTTTTTCATTTAAAATAAACACCCACCAGGACACAGACTTACAGACTTACAGAGTGTCAGTTTGCTCCCTACTTTCTCCCCGTCACAGAACCCTTCCTGTCAGCTTACTGCTGAGAAACAGTGGCCTCGCACAACCAGCCTGATCTTGCAAGCTTAGCAGAATGTACAGTATGTAATACTTCAACACGCGTTGACATACGAACGTCATTTCACACGATCAGCCTAAGCAGCTGATAATAAACACAGAGAGGCTCGACGCTGTCATGGACTCCTTCCTGTGAAAGTAGGGAGTCTTCCGGTGTGTTTATGGTGTCTGGGCTATCGACATTCTCCAGTGCAAAAACGGGAAGATAAACACCTACGACAAAGATGAGAAACAGCAGCATCTCAGAATAACATTGCCGGCTTCCATCCGTTTTTTTCGTACAACTGACGGCCATTAGCTGAAACGTCAAACTGAGATTCGGCGCCTTGGCGGGACTCAATTTCCAAGACCTCCGCTCAGGGGAAATATTGGTTTACATAAAGTACATCTGTGTGGGGTTTTTGCTCTTCCGATTTACTCCCAAGCGAATTAGACTCTCTGCCACCCGAGGCAGAGTGACATTCGGACCGGCGTATTAAAAATGAATGGGGAACTCCAGCCAGTCGTAACAGTAAGATGGTAGGCAGGCAGGTAGGGGAAAACCAATTAGACAGGGCAGAGAAGAGGCTTGTAGAGGGTTTCAGCCAGAGTGGAGTTACACGGCCACAATATACACTCACTAACCAGAGACCCGGCAGCGGTTTACAGTCCATTTTCCTCGGGGTTGAAGGTCATCTCTTTTTTCCCTCCCTTTCTTCCCGGCCTTCACCAGATATGTGATTTGAAATCCAAGCCCCAGCTCGGCCCTCATGTTTCTGTCTGGTCTGTCTCTCCTTGACCTCTGCTCTGCCTCTGCTTGACCTCAGCTCTGTCTCCTTCACCTCAGCTCTCTCCCCTTGACCTCAGCTCTGGCAACTTATTTGACAGAGCCGCTGGAACCTGACAAAGGGCCAAGATGCGAAAGGTCCGGCGGGACTGAGATTGGGATAGAACAAGGTGTGGGCCACGTGGAACCCGGGAGATTTATAAAATGGGCCAGAGTCACTGGAGACTGGTACATGGACACAAAGCAGCTGCTTGAAGGCAGGAGCTATAACACATACAGAACAATGCATCCTGGGTACTGAAGTGAGCCACAGTGTCGGTGCAGAACTCAGGGTAAGCACTTGACTACCTGTCGACAACATGTCAACTGCATTTAAATGACAGGCCTGGAACACTGGAATTACTGTGGTCATAATGTGGTTTATACTGTCATAATAATAATACAAATATTTCAGAATAGCTTTACACATGAACACGTTTTTCACCATCTATGATTTGATATTAGTTTGACTTCAGCAGTACACTCTCATCAATGAACAAACCATAAACGTTCCAACACGCTGAACTATGCACCCGTCTGCAACCTGTGTCGTGTGAAAAGCCAAATACCACTACTTCAACAAGGCCAGTGGATGACATTACAGATCTCGTTTCACACATGATTAGAGCAGATTCATTCTATCCTGCTTGCCTTCATTATCTCCAAACACACACACACACACAGACACACACACGCGCACAGATGCTGACACTGGTCCAGCTCGTTCCAGACATGGTGTTGTGATCTACAGCATGCAGTCATTAACCTCTTGTAGATAGAGAGCTTCTCCAATTGCCTCCACAGCACCAGTACACCGATTTACACTGGTACATTGCCCGGCTGTCACTGGCAACAATAGCAACAATATGGACCAAACTTTATATGTATAGATCTAGGTGTTATAGAAAGGATGTGCAACAAGCTACAATGAGACAGAAACAACTACCAGGTGCTCATTTGTAGAATTATCTATCAGGATTTTACCTATTGGATAAGATTTAAATTCACATAACTCCAACGAATGGGAACGAATTCTGTTTGACTGAATCCAGCCGGGAATCTTTTAAAAAAGACAGACAAACAAGTGGACAGGGTACTCGATGTCACCTCAGGTCCAGTCTCCCTGCCGGAGATGGGTCCCGTTGAGAGAGACCTGAGGCGAACAGTTCATATTGACAATTCAGAGAGGGAGAGTGAGAGCCAACACGGGACCATAATGAGAAACATTACTGGTCGGAGGGGCCCCTGGCTACATGCATATTTCATGGCCCTCTGCTATGGATGACTTATTGGCACCCGGATGATGGATGAGTTTTGGCAGCCGAACGCAGATCGGGTTTCAACAGCCACGCCGTTTCTACGGTTACCGGGTTGCCGCTCTCGGTAAACAGCAGTTGGGGGCGGTGTGGCTGTCGCCGTGTAACGACGGGCAGGTCAAGGTGACTCACGGGAACATGGCGAGGAGAGAAGAGATTAACAGTGCTATGGGAATGACCCCTGACCCTGACTGACAACACACATGACATCCGTCTGTCACGGATAAAACGTATTGCCTCCAAATGCCATTACAGTGTCATTCACCCAGTCACATATGCATATGGTCATGTGACAGCTCCTAGTTCCAAGTAAGCAATAGATAAAATATCAACACTGCTTTTCTATTCTATTGCTCTATACTTAACCATGCCCGCTGTCCTTTTCCCATCTCACGCCTCCTCCCAGTTTCCTCAATCACCCCTATATCTGTCTCATTTAGCGCTACATTAAGCCGAAGCAGGCCTGGGAATGATATAAGACCCAATAACAGAGTTGCCTTGTACCATTTGTTGTCTGCCTCTCTCTACAGTGTGCACATAAACAGACATTGTCAACACTCAGCGCACCATTCAAAACCTTGCCTGCCTAAGAATAATGACTCTGGAGGTGCGATTATACGCTGTTTCATATGAACACGACGCCAAGACTTGCTTTGATATGTCACAGGTCCGTGCGTTAAAGCTAGCTGAAGATATTTGATGTCGTCACGTTATGAGTAATAACCGTTGTGTCGTCTGTGCAGAACGCCATGCAAATGGAGTCGTTAGGCGGTCAGGCAGGGAATGAGTCTACCACAGAACAGCAGAGGCGGAAGTGGTGGAAGTGGTGGTGGAGGCGGTGGTGGAGGTGGTGGAAGTGGTGGTGGTGGTGGTGGAGGTGGTGGTGGAGGTGGTGGAAGTGGTGGTGGTGGTGGAGGTGGTGGTGGAGGTGGTGGTGGAGGTGGTGGAAGTGGTGGTGGTGGAGGTGGTGGAAGTGGTGGTGGTGGAGGTGGTGGAGGTGGAAGTGGTGGAAGTGGTGGTGGTGGAGGTGGTGGAGGTGGAAGTGGTGGTGGTGGAGGTGGAAGTGGTGGGGGGGGTGGTGGTGGTGGTGGAGGCGGTGGTGGTGGTGGAAGTGGTGGTGGTGGAAGT